ATATATATATATATATATATATATATATATATATATATATATATATATATTAATATATATATATATATATATATATATATATATATATATATATATATATATATATATATATAGTTTGTAACTCATATAGTTTGTTACTCAAGTTTGTAACTCATATATATATATATATAGATTACTTTATGAAAAACTTGTTTGCAACCGGTATACTGGATATATATTTCAAAAACGCATTAATCAAAACACAAAGAAAAATCATAAGCGTGTCGTATCTTTATATGTGATAGAGATTTCCCTTGATTTATATAAACTTTAAATCTAAAGATTTATATAAAATTTAAAACATTAGCGTGTTTTATCAGACCTAAAGATACTCGACTTCGCCTCTTTATATCTGATAAAACAATGATGCTGATGTTTTAAATAGTACATAAAGAAAAATGACCAAATTTTTCCAACGTTGGTCTGATTCGGTGCTAAGCTATTGAAAAAATGCCAATTGGATCTAAAACTCATGAATTTTAATTTTCAAAGCTCTAACATTAGTTATAAGTATAACATATGGGATAACTTAAATAATTGCTGATAGATTTGGTCACTTGTGGTCAAGGGTCAGAATATATATAGCAATGTTCCAAACGATAATAGAATTTGTCAACACTATTTCACGCGGTGCAATAATACAAAGTTTTATACTGATCTCACAGCAATCTTGACTTGCAATCAATCCCTTGACTCTTGAGAATTAGAAGACAATGGCATGGCGACCATGTTGGTGCCAAATTGAAAGGGGGACCACCAACATTGGCCGTCGCCCACATCATTGCAAGTCAAGATTCAAGAATAAGCTTAACCAAATCAATCACTCGTTTCGTCCTTTTTACGATCATACTTGTTTATGTATATTATTACAATAAAGACAAACCCGTGAGGGCATTGGTAGCCAAGTACGTATTTCGAAGTCCTAACAAATTCTTGATCAATTATTCAATTGTTACTGTAGTATAATTCTAATTTTTAATCATGATTTAATGAATTAAATCATCAAATCATGATTAAAAATCATAGTCTGTCTGTAAATTTAATATGTTTAGTATTGACAGCTGTGTTTGAATAAAGTTTGTTTGTTTGGGAAATAATTAATTTTCGATCTATTTTACCCTTCAACCATTGTTGAATCGAAATGAGATGCCATTCATGCCAACAAAGTCTCGATGTTCCCTGAAGAATATTTCATATCATATTATACAGAGTGAACAATATCACAACATCACAAACATATTAAAGTTACCGCGACAGGCTGCGTGGTATAATCCAGTTTCTGAATTCAAGTTGTTTTGGATAAATCACGCAAGATTTTTTAAGGTGTAACCCTGTGTCTCAGTTGAATGAGGAAGTAAGATGAAATTTATTCTGTACAGCATTTATTCCGGCAAATGAAATATAATACCTGTTCCCTGTTGAGAGGTTGTTATGAGAGTGTCACGCCTACGTCTCGTCACATGCAAGTTGGCGACAGATTTCGCTAGAAACCGAACCGCAAGCAAATCCAAGCAAATCATCTCATCAAATGTCGCCAAAATTCGTGAACCTGTATAGGCCTGACTGCCTGTACAGGGTGTCTCAAAAAAACCCAAAATCATTGAAATTGACGTATTGTTCGATATTCAATGCCCTAGCACTAAGTTAATCCCACGAGTGCATAAAAGATTGACATAACTGCTATAATGAATGGTAATACTCAGCGTAAACTTGTTATGTCAGGCATAAAGTACTAAACCCACGAATGCATATTACGCATATTACAATTTACGAAGCATTTTTAAATTCCCATGAGCAAACAAACGTTCACTTTACAAAAATATTTTAATTTTTTAAAACAAATTAATCACCCTGTCAAAATCCTTTGTGTTACGGCATTGAAATTCGAACAATACGTTATTTCAATGATTTTGGTTTTTTTTGAGACACCCTGTATAGCTTTAATTAAAATGAGCTCGTAAGAGTTGGCGATTAAATGCGAGCGAGTTTTTGCAATTATGCTGGCCTCAAGTGGGCTGATCTCACTGCCACTGGCCGCTACTCGAGTTAGTGTTAGTTTTGTGTGGGCAGTTTCGTCTCTCAGGGAAATACCAGGCGAAGGCAGGCATGACAATGCCAATGGCGATGATTCCAGAATCATTATAACAGCATACAGATCGCGCTGTTAATTCTAGCTACCTCTTATAGTGAGCATGACAAGCCAAACTTCTAGGGCCCTCTATATATAAACGCCAAAACTAAAAGCAAAACGAATTTCAACAGGTTGCGTTAATTAGCTACAGAGTTAATTAATTCCCATTGTTATACGAAACTTGAGTATTAAGCAAGTAATAACTGCATAGCAAACTCATAATTTTTACAAACAAACAAACCCACTCAAACAGAGATACACCAATAGGCAATATACAAAACAAATTAAATTTGCAGAGAGACTATACTAGTGTATAGATTAAAAATTAGAATCATCATCGATGCTGTAAAATTGCCGCCATATTTATACAGCAATATACCAGGTGATCTCGTGTTCGTATTTTAGCCAATCAGCGCTCAGAAAGGGTTGTCCGAATAGAAATCCATTTTGATGTATTCAGTCAATTATATCTTTCGTTATTCTTTATGAAACTAGTTGAAATTTTGTAATTATGTTTGGTTATGAGAACTATAGCTCTGACAAAAATATGGAATCGAAATAAAGTATATTACAGGAGATATTCAGTTCTTTTAATCACAAAATGGATTTCTATTTGACAACTAGTGCCAGTACTTTTCCGCGTATCAAGATCATCTGGAAAAGCAAAACTTACTGAACTTCAGACATCATTTTCTCTTTGGCATACCATCTAAAATCTCTTCATTTTAGCATAATTTTACAGATAAAGCACTAAACATACTTTTTAAGTTTGTTTGCCGCTTAAGAAACGTATCGAAAATTCTAAAAAAATTGTTTCTTAGACTTAGCAAATTAAAACGATTTCGAATAAAAAATTAATATCTAAGCGTCGCCATTGAGCGTCGCCATTGAGCGTCGCCATTGACAACGAGAATTCAACTGCTTATATTGGACTATGATTGGACCAACGCGATTATTTTTCAGTATTATCTTTAAAGAATTCGTCTGGAAATTACCAATGAAGAATTAAGCATGTTTATAAATAATTATAAGTTTTAACAAAAACAACGTCACGAGATCAGCCATGCAAGGTCAAAACACTCAAAAGGAAAACCCCACAAATCTAGAAGTGTTGCTCGCGAACAGCCTAAAACCACAACGGATATTGAACTGAAAAATTTGAGAACGATCTCCAGTGATCGCGGAATTTTTGTTGCGCAAAAGGCGAAATGGAATTCGATTCAAATTTCGAAGTGAATTTTATGTTTGTGTTCACTTTAAAGCTACAGTATAAGCCAATATTTTAACTAAACTAACTTTACTGTACTATTTCAAACATGAGCAGCATGCCAGCAGTGTTTTATCAGATATAAAGATACATCTTTAGGTCTGATAGAACACGCACTGCGAATGTTTTAAATTGCTTCAAAAACGATCTATCTAGTAAGTTCATTGGCGAAGTAATTTGAAAAATACGTTGTGTAAGTCGAGACAATCGAAGTTAAAGTTTATGTAAATCAAGGGAAATCTCTAATTCACATATAAAGATACGACACGCTATGATTTTTCTTTGTGTTTTCCTCATGAATTATTAATTAATGAGGTTTTGAATTATGCTGGATAGCCGAGTTTTGTCTAGTCTCCTTCGCAGCCTGTTCGCGTGTGCGATGTGGGGAGAAAACATCGCACCCGCGAACAGGCTGCGAAGGAGACTAAGGCAGCGTTTACACTGTACCGTTTTCGTAGCGTTCTCGTATTGTTCGAGAGAACTAGGCTATTGTCTTGCGTTCCCTTGAGGATTAAGAACAATACGAGAACGCTACGAAAACGGTACAGTGTAAACGCTGCCTAAGTTTTGTCAGTTCTAAACTGTTACTAAAGAAGGAAACCTAAACTAAACTAACTTTATTTATACTGGATAGCTCTATCAGTTCTAAACTGTTCTTCCTAGAGGTCTAGTAAGGATCATCTCTTATTGATCCAGTGTTACTACAGGAGGAAACCTAAACTAAACTAACTTTATTTATGCTGGATAGCTCTATCAGTTCTAAACTGTTCTTCCTAGAAGTCCAGTAAGGATCATCTCTTATTCATCCAGTGCTACTACAGGAGGAAACCTAAAATAAACTTTATTTATACTGGATAGCTGTATGAGTTCTAAACTATAAGTATACATACTTCAGTAATTTAATACTATATAATATGACATACAAAGACGTATTAGCTAAATCTGTTGCTTATTATTACTGAGCGATGATAGGTTAAGCTTTTAAATAGCAATCATTTAGTATAATACTGTCAACAGCTCAATCAAGGAAACGAATCTGTTTTAAAACACTATAAACCAGAAACATTGTTTTTCACTAAAAATAACAACCGGCTGCAGTTTATAAGAATCGGTTTTGTGTATGACATACAGGAAAGATTTAAATTAAGATAACGTGGCTAAATTAGGCTAGCGTGAATAAATAAGGCTGTGAAGTTTTTTAATCTCAGAGACCCAAATAAACATGCCAATTCTGTCAAGCTAATACGCATTTGCTACTAACCATTGCTCGGTTTCCTCCGTTAGGGACCGGTCATTATTTATGGTGGGGGGTGGCACCGAAGAGAAATATTTTTCGTGGCAAAAATTTTGCTGACCCAACCATTAAAAAGTCAGGAATTTGATTACCCAACCTCAAATATATCAATTAAAAAATAAAGACCCTGGCCAAAAACTTTACAAAAGGATACCATTCAGTTGTCACACATGTCCTTTACCACTTCTGTGACATGAACTTGATAACTGCTTGTGAAATTTTCTGCAGTATAAAGTTTCCCTGCAGTATAAAGTTTCCCTGGGCCTGTTCATATGAGCCCGGTGTCACAGCGGATTTGGACCCCCCAGTAGATTTGGACCCCTCAGTAGATTTGGACCCCCCGGTCCAAATCTCCTAGTAGATATGGACGCCCCCGGTCCAAATCTCCTAGTAGATATATGGACCCCTTTAGCGGATATGGACCCCCGTTTTTTAAACACTTTTATATACTAAAAACAACCCCAATAACGGTGTTCCTCTTTTGGTCTTTGTTGTAAGAATTGGGGTACTCGTTGTCGCGAAGATAATGAAATACTTCTTCGTACGCAGTGAAATCAGCCATTTTGCATTAAACAGAGATCATAGTTCTATTCGCATTGAAATCGCGAATGACACTAAAACATTTATATAGCTGCAAGGCAACTGATAAGTCATCACTTATTGTTTAAAAATATTCATGGATCGCGTTGGTCTAATATGCTATTTCGGTGGCTTTTGTTAAAAAACCATTAGCAAAGACTCACAAACATCACTTATTGTTTAAAAATATTCCCATGAATATTGCTCTAATATGCTATTTCTATGGTTTTTGTTAAAAATCATTGGTGGATGGTCGCAGGCTTCCATTTAGATGAATCACCACCACTTTGATTGTTCAAAAACATTCATGAAAATCGTGTTTCGTGTCGATCCAAATGCCATTTCTATCGCTTTTGTTACACAGTGATTCGTTATTGGCAAATACTATACATAGATTTTAGTCACACTGTATTCTATTTTTCTATGACAAAATACTTCAGATTGATCGCTATTATTAATTTGGTTTATATTATTGTGTTCACATTACATATATTTAACTTTGGAAGGGGGGTCCAAATCCGCCAACGGGGGTCCGTATTTACTAGTAGATTTGGACCCCCGGGGGTCCATATCTGCTAGGAGATTTGGACCGGGGGGTCCATATCTACTAGTGGATATGGACCGGGGGTCCAAATCTACGGGGGTCCAAATCAACTGGGACACCGGTTAACCGAGCTGGCCCGCTTTGCCGAGCTGGCCCGCTTTGCTTTCACATGAGGCGGGCTAGCCCGGCAATCATATCTATTCATATAGGAACGATTTCCCGCGATATTTTAGCGGGAAAATAAAATTCGTGTTTATTTGGCAAAATTTTATTTTTGTCGACGGCTACAGCTTCAGGAAGTTTAATTTCGACAAATTCCTATAGTTTTGGACATTTTAGACTGTTTATCAGTGGAATACAGCACGCAAATTTCCAGCCCGGCTTGCCGGGCTAGCCTGGTTGTGCATTCATACGAGCCCGGCAAGCCGGGATCTCGCCTCGCTCAAGCGCGATCCCGGTAAACCGGGCTGGCCCGCTTCTCATATGAACCCAATCCTAAATTAATATACAAACAATATGTGAGGCGGGATCTCGGCACTTGAAAACCAGCCCGGCAGACCAGGGCTCATATGAACAGCCCCTTAGGGTACACTGCGCAAGACAAGCGTTAAGTCGTCACGAAAATATTTCGTGCACTTAAATTGGATAACACTCGGTACCAATCCCCGTTGACTCGATAGCTCAATGGGTAGAGCGGCGGTCTAGATACCCGAAGATGCGAGTTCAAATCCCGCTCGAGCCAACGAATTTTTCGTTGCTCGATTGCAGTGTCAGTCAGGAAACTTCGTATTATTACACCGCATCAAATATAGTGTTGACAATTTCTTTTATCGCACATGGAACATTTAACAAATATAAAACATTTTCCGTGTTGATATACAGTTATATCAACACGAGTGGAATTGGGAAAACGAGAAATTGTATGGAAACAAAATTGGATCTATTGTACTCAGGTGAATAAGATGCTTGTGGTGTTACTCAGAGTGTATATCTACACCGCGGACAGGCTTGAAAAATATGCCTGGAATCGAATCTACGACCTTTGGAATACTAGCCCAATGCTCTGCCAACTGAGCTACGCGGTCAGGTCGGTTCGAGTATTTGATATTTCGAAACTCACACTGAACAAAATTTCAGTTCAGATCACATACTCGAACCGACCTGACCGCGTAGCTCAGTTGGCAGAGCATTGGGCTAGTATTCCAAAGGTCGTAGGTTCGATTCCCACCGTGGCCAGCCAGGCCAGGCATATTTTTCAAGCCGGCCCGGTGTGGATGTACACTCAGAGTAACATCACAAGCATCTTATTCACCTGAGTACATTACACCAACACAGCAAATACTTTGTTAGTCAATGTCAGTAACATTCAACCGGTCATTAATACTGAACGTCATTAAGATGACCTTGACCAATGCAGAAGCCTCAAAATTAGAGACGTGACCTCGATTTCGGCCCACATGACGCGCATGGACTCGCCGCTAGTTGTTCCAATGAGTCTGATATCGTCGGCACGTAACAAGTTGTTAACAAGCTCGAAGTCATTGTAACAAGAACAACTTGTAGCAAGTCTGTTACCGTCATCAACCTTGTAACAAGGTGATAACAACTTGTTCCAGACTTGTCACAACAACTGGGCAGAAGCAGACGAACACATCCTGACATCGGTTTGGCAACATACTTACACAGATCGCGCCACTGCCAAGTGCCAACTCTGTATGACGCTTTTATTGTATTTGTTTATTTTATTTTACCAGCTTTATTGGACATAAAATTACAGGAAATAGAGACCCATGCAAGGCACAGCTCGGAAAATATGAAATAAAAACATGTTGAAATTATAAAATAGGGAAGCTAATCTATAATAGCTTCTTCTATAACAGCTTGAATTTCTAGGGATCGAAGCTGTCAGGAAAATCGTACAAGTTTGCGCAACGAGACAATGGCACTTATAATATCGAGGAAGCAAGCGATCTAATCGCATCCCATTTCGTACACAAATAAAAAAAAACTCTTGAGTTTATAAGGGACTCTTTATATGAGCCCGGTTTGTCGGGAAGCTGTCCTAAGTGCGAGGATGATGTCTGTCTGCGTTCATTCATATCCTGCCGCGGTGGGACGAAAATACGATAGCTTAATGCCTTCCAAATACAGACGTATGAGACAGGGGGCTGGGGGGGGGGGGAAACAGTTTAGAACTGATAGAGCTATCCAGTATAAATAAAGTTTGTTTAGTTTAGGTTTTCTCCTTGTAGTGACACTGGATCAATAAGAGATGATTCCTACTGGACTTCTAGGAAGAACAGTTTAGAACTGATAGAGCTATCCAGTATAAATAAAGTTTGTTTAGTTTAGGTTTCCTCCTGTAGTAACACTGGATCAATAAGAGATGATTCTTACTGGACTTCTAGGAAGAACAGTTTAGAACTGATAGAGCTATCCAGTATAAATAAAGTTAGTTTAGTTTAGGTTTCCTCCTGTAGTGACACTGGATCAATAAGAGATGATTCTTACTGGACTTCTAGGAAGAACAGTTTAGAACTGATAGAGCTATCCAGTATAAATAAAGTTACTTTAGTTTAGGTTTCCTCCTGTAGTGACGCTGGATCAATAAGAGATGATTCTTACTGGACTTCTAGGAAGAACAGTTTAGAACTGATAGAGCTATCCAGTATAAATAAAGTTAGTTTAGTTTAGGTTTCCTCCTGTAGTGACGCTGGATCAATAAGAGATGATTCTTACTGGACTTCTAGGAAGAACAGTTTAGAACTGATAGAGCTATCCAGTATAAATAAAGTTAGTTTAGTTTAGGTTTCCTCCTGTAGTGACGCTGGATCAATAAGAGATGATTCTTACTGGACTTCTAGGAAGAACAGTTTAGAACTGATAGAGCTATCCAGTATAAATAAAGTTAGTTTAGTTTAGGTTTCCTCCTGTAGTGAGGAACCTAAACTAAACTAACTTTATTTCTAATGGATAGCTCTATCAGTTCTAAACTGTTCTCCCAAGAGGTCCAGTAAGAGCCATCCCTCCTATGCTTTGATTGACATTGTCCAAATTTTTCTTTTACAGAGAGGACGATGTGCTTACGCGATCTTAATCATGGCTGTCTACTGGATAACAGAAGTGTGTCCACTGGCAGTCACATCGTTGTTACCATTAATTCTGTTTCCATTTTTGGGCGTGGTCGAAGCGAAGCAAATAAGCCCGCCATATTTTAGCGACACAAATATCCTATTCATGGGTGGTCTGCTGGTTGCAGTGGCCGTGGAGTACTGGAACTTACACAAGAGAATTGCTTTGTTTGTCTTACTTAAACTTGGAGTCCAGCCCAGAAGGTCAGACGGCCATTTTTAACTCAGACGGCTAAAGGCAGCAAGCTTTTTATGTACTGTTTAATAAACGAGTAGGAGTGTTTTATCGGATATGAAGATACGAGGCGAAGCCGAGTATCTTTACGTCTGATAAAACACGCACTGCGAATGTTTTAAATTGCTTCAAAAACGATCGATCTAGTAAGTTCATTGGCGAAGTAATTTTCAAAAAATACGTTGTCTAAGTCGAGAAAATCAAAGTTAAAGTTTATGTAAATCAAGGGAAATCTCTATCACATGTAAAGATACGACATGCTTATGATTTTTCTTTGTGTTTTCCTCATGAATTATTAATGAGTTTTTGAAGGTCACGATTTTTTATCGAAATAGAATTTTGTGATTGACAAAGTTTAAGGTTTTACTCCAAAAGAGCAGTGAAAGCAATTTGCCAAAAGAATTTGTCTGGATATGAATAAAATGATCAGAAGTTCCTGAGCCAAGCCTACGACAAGATCAATATACTTCATCAGGTATCCAGTATATTATCATGGGGTGGTGCATGAGGGAGCCTTACTGCCCACTCTCCTCTGCAGTCTGCAACGCTACTATCCCAACATTACCATTATTTGAGATGATCGAATCTGCATGTTCACCGTTCTGTTTGTATTACATTATCTTTTGTGTTTATAAAGTTTATATCGGCTTTTTATCACGTATGCGTGACTGGACAGTTGCTGTAGCACAGTGCAGTAAACTTGCTTGTTAAAGTACAGTATATTTTGAAAAAAAGGCTGTATAACAATCTTGACATGTTTACGTATGTTGGTGGGCTAGTATTCCAAAGGTCGTAGGTTCGATTCCCACCATGGTCAGGCATATTTTTCAAGCTTGCCCGGTGTGGAAATACACTCAGCGTAACATCACAAGCATGTTTACGTACTATTTAACAACGGTATTAAACTAAAGCATTCTGAGTATCTTCTCGTGAGCTCACAAATCAATTAAACCGTTTCAAGAAATCGACACTCGCTGACAGCAGAAGCTCTGCTAATCGCTATTCGAACAGCACAAAATGTATGGTCAAGCCGACATGCACTTTGTGACAAACCGTTTCTGTATACGAAACTGCCCAATATTCTGTTACTTACCAAACATATACGGTATATCTTTAAATTTACGCCCGTAGGTTGCTATTCGGTTTCATGTCCGTCACAGCGTTTTTATCGATGTGGCTGAGCAATACAGCCACGACAGCTATGATGTTTCCAATTGCCCAAGCAGTTTTACAAGAACTGAGAGAGGGCACTAAGAATGTGGACAAAAACGGCGTGGTTAATAACGGTACAGCGTTTGAAATGGACAAGGAAGCCAATCATACGAAAGAAGAAGCTAGTTCTACAGAGAAAATGGACTCAGTTGACAGCATAGAAAAGTCCGATGTAGGGATTGTAAGGTATGAGTCAAAGTCTTCTAAATGCAGAGCGTAATTATTTTGTTCAAGATAAAGTAGCTTAAATAATTTTTAAGATTTTGTTAGTAACTTGTTTTGAACATCTTTTAAGTGGTTTGGGATAGAGTTAGATAACATTGCCCCCTATACTAGAAGTTACTATCGCAAGGAAAATGCTGCCTCACTCCCAAGGGATAAAAAAAGGCAGCATGCGCAATTTGCTGAATAACGGGCTGTTTTTATGATCCCGCTTTGCCAAGACCCCCTATATAAGGTATCTTTGATTTCCCAAACTCAGCGGTAACTTTGTGAACTTTTAGATCCTTAATCGATGATCTTGTTGGGACATTATGTGTGTCTTTAACAAATTCAAAGTTTGCAGGAGCTTTGTTTTTCAGTAATTTACAAAAGGATACCATTCAGTTGTCACACATGTCCTTTACCACTTCTGTGACATGAGTTTGATAACTGCTTGTGCAATTTTCTGCAGTCTAAAGTTTCATGTTGTCTGCACATGTACTTTCTTCGGAGACACCATTTGCCTCCTGACAAATCGAAAAATGATCAAGATAGTGACTCTGATCGATTTACATATTGTATTGACATATTACTGTTGACATTGCTTTTTAGCCTTCAATATTTGAGTGAGTCATGCTTTGGAAATTACTATAAATTTCTATTACCCAACCCTTGAGTTGTTTTGTTTTTCATTTCCCCAACCTTTTACTCACTCAAAATTCTGTTTACCCAACCCTTTTCTCTTCGGGGCCACCCCGCGACATAAATAATGACCTCTCCCTAAAAATGTTTTACAGAAAAATATAAAACATTTACTAGCCCCAAAACAGTTATTCTTTATTACACTTGATTTCACCCTCTACTTTTTTTCTTTTATAGGATTGAAGTAAATAAGGTAGGTAACACTAAAGTAATATTTGAAATCCGACTAGATTTCAAGTGCGCGCAATTTGATCAAGTCCGAGACGAAGCCGAGGACTGGGTCAAGGTGGGAGGACTTGAAATATAGTCCAGTGAAGGGTCTTAGCTAGGATTTTAGATCTTGGGCGTGTTTCTAAATGACCTGGGTGTGCGTATTTCTAGTTATGCTCGCCAACAACAGACAATGCCTATGGTTGTTGTAGGCTTTGCAACCAAATACAAGGCTACGCTCACATTGCGTACTGACATTAAAATATTAAGTTTTTTCAGCAACTCTTGGGGGTATTTAAAACCATTTTATATAATACCATATGGTTCCCATTATCCATCAAAACATTAAAACATCACAGATCACTTTTTCCAATTTCATCAATTACAGTAGATTTTAGAAACTTTCTTACAACGAAAATGGGAAGAAATTCTGTCTGTTGTAAGCAGTAACACCTTATTTTATGAACCTACACGGCCTTATTTAATTAATGAAGCCGCGTTCATTTTATCTAGCCGTGTTTTTCTATTTTTGGCCGCGATAACACGGCCAACACGGCCCTCTAGCTAAGACCCTGGTCCAGTCCGAATTGGAGGATTTGAAATGACATCTCGTACGAATAAATCACTACTTAAAGCATGGATAATAAAATAAATGGATAGGAAACTAGCTGACGTGACCTAATGTTTTCAATGGGCTGATGGCGTGATTGGATGTTGAAACCTAGTTGTAAACCAAATTCTCAAAAACGGCATGTTTAGCAATAATACAGCTAAACATTTTAGTCAAAGAGCAAGTGAATATAACTACGCCATTCTACGATGAAACCTCTAAGTATTCCCAGTCAATTTTAGCAAATATTTCAAGCACTAAACAGTGAAAAAGGCATCCCAAATTTCGTTAAAATTGGGGACGCCAATTTCGTAGCTACAAATGTAAAAAAATACAAAACAAAGACGAAAAACATTTACCTTGAATACTTTGTCGTGGCTTAGGCATGTTTTTAAAACAATTAGACCGGTTTATGCTTCAATATTGCTCTTTTAAGGCGGAAACTATAGCGAAACAACAAAAATGCAGAGAACTTTGCAATACGCGTCACGTCACAGATTGCAACTAGGTTGTTTTTGCTTACGTCAGCGAGAGTCCTATCCATTTATTTTATTATCCATGCTTAAAGTGAAGTGAATTAATTTTGATCCAGTCCTAGGACTGAATCAATATACTTCACTAGGTATCCAGTATTATAAAATAACATTAATATAACGCGTGCTCTGATTGGTCGAAACCCGTGTTAGGATCAGGCCATCCAATCACGGAAATTTAAAGTGAAAATTTTTTAAAGTGAAATTTTAACACGGAAAGTTGTTATTTTATAAAACAAGTTAAGAAAAGCGCGAGTTAAGAAAAGTGCGCAAAATCACTCGCCTTCGGCTCGTGTCCGCACGCACGCATGCTTTTCTTAACTCTCGCAACATTCCCGCGTGCTTGATCAGGCCATCCAAACACGGAAACCATAAAGTAATTGTATATTATCATGTGAGCAAAATAAAGCAATATGGTTGGCTAATTGACTCATGAATTACTGATTAATGAGTTCGAGATTTATGATTATATCATCACCAGAATTAGCGACAATATGGCCACCGCACACGCATACCCCCGCTCTGCGATTCCGGTGCAGTGTTATAATCAACTATATGGTTGTATTTTTGGATGTATTCATGTATAATATTAATTTATTTTTCAACAGGATGAACAATCAGATTTACAACATATAAGACTTTGCAAAGGGACATTCTTGAGTATCGCTTATGCTGCTAATATTGGTGGGACAGGCACGTTGACAGGGACTGGACCAAATTTGATTTTAAGTGGACAAGCAGACGAGTAAGTGTCAGAGTCTGGTCAAGTATTAACCTACAGTATTAAGGTTCAATATTTTCCCCCTGAGGGGGGAATGGTCTAAACTGAGCAAAAACTACACGTGTAAAACCGCGCAAGTTGTTAGAGATCTGCAAACAAGTCGGAACAAGGTTGTTGTGAAGCCGATATCAGGATGTGTTCGCACTGCTTGTTCCCAGTTGTTGTGACAAGTCTGGAACAAGTTGTCATCACCTTGTTACAAAGTTGATGACGGTAACAGACTTGCTACAAGTTGTTCCAACAAGACTAATACAGGCTGTTCGTAACAAGTTGCTACGAGCTTGTTGTCATCAACTTGTTAACAACTTGTTACGTGCAGACGATATCAGACTTGTTGGGACAACTTGTTGCGAGTCTGTTGGCCTCATCAACCTTGTTACAACATGATAACAACTTGTTGCAGACTTGTCAACAACTGTTAGCTGGGCTCAGGCACTGTGGCTCAGCGAGTTTAATGAATTAAAATATTTAATAACCCTTATTGGACCTCTAGGAAGAACAGTTTAGAACTGATAGAGCTATATCCAGTATAAATAAAGCTAGTTTAGTTTAGATTTCCTCCTGTAGTAACACTGGATCAATAAGAGATGATCTTTATTGGACCTCTAGGAAGAACAGTTTAGAACTGATAGAGCTATCCAGTATAAATAAAGTTAGTTCAGTTTAGGTTTCCTCCTGTAGTAATACTGGATCAATAAGAGATGATCCTTACTGGACCTCTAGGAAGAACAGTTTAGAACTGATAGAGCTATATCCAGTATAAATAAAGCTAGTTCAGTTTAGATTTCCTCCTGTAGTAACACTGGATCAATAAGAGATGATCTTTATTGGACCTCTAGGAAGAACAGTTTAGAACCGATAGAGCTATCCAGTATAAATAAAGTTAGTTCAGTTTAGGTTTCCTCCTGTAGTAACACTGGATCAATAAGAGATGATCCTTACTGGACCTCCAGGAAGAACAGTTTAGAACTGATAGACTATATCCAGTATAAATAAAGCTAGTTTAGTTTAGATTTCCTCCTGTAGTAACACTGGATCAATAAGGGATGATCCTTACTGGACCTCTAGGAAGAACAGCTTAGAACTGATAGAGCTATCCAGTATAAATAAAGTTAGTTCAGTTTAGGTTTCCTCCTGTAGTAATACTGGATCAATAAGAGATGATCCTTACTGGACCTCTAGGAAGAACAGTTTAGAACTGATAGAGCTATATCCAGTATAAATAAAGTTAGATTAGTTTACTGTAGTAATAACACTAGATGAATAAGAGATGATCCTTACTGGAGTTCCAGGCAGAATAGTTTAGAACTGATAAATCCTAACGTTTTATATGTTTTTACAGATTATATCCAGCCAGTGGTGGAATCGGGTTCGCTAATTGGTTTATATACGCTTTCCCAGAAATGCTTCTACTGCTGTGTGTCGCCTGGGTTTGGATACAATGGATGTACTTGGAAACTAGGTGAGGAAAAGACTTGACGTTCTTTATTGTAAACAGTGCAAAAAATGTCGACTTAAAAACTTTAGTGTATACATGAAATAATGCCCCATATAGTGACTTTTAAAAATTGATGAGAAATTTGCTCAATATTTTTTAGTACAGTAAATCTTTACTCAAACCAATCAGTAAATTTGAATCTGAGTTTTGTTGTGATAAAATGTTCCTGCGAGTTTGTTATTGTACTGTAAGAGCCTCTTGGGACGTCGGAAATTTCATAATTTATTTTCCGGCTTACGAAAATGTTTCCTAATTTTATTTATACTGGATAGCTCTAACAGTTCTAAACTGTTCTTCCTAGAGGTTCAGTAAGGATCATCTCTTATTGATCCAGTGTTACTACAGGAGGAAACCTAAACTAAACTAACTTTATTTATACTGGATAGTTCTATTAGTTCTAAACTGTTCTTCCTAGAGGTCCAGTAAGGATCATCTCTTATTGATCCAGTGTAACTACAGAAGGAAACCTAAACTAACTTTATTTATACTGGATAGTTCTATTAGTTCTAAACTGTTCTTCCTAGAGGTCCAGTAAGGATCATCTCTTATTGATCCAGTGTTACTACAGGAGGAAACCTAAACTAAACTAACTTTATTTATACTGGATAGTTCTATTAGTTCTAAACTGTTCTTCCTAGAGGTCCAGTAAGGATCATCTCTTATTGATCCAGTGTTACTCCAGGAGGAAACTTAAACTAAATTAACTTTATTTATACTGGATAGCTCTAACAGTTCTAAACTGTTCTTCCTAGAGGTCCAGTAAGGGCCATCTCTTATTGATCCAGTGTTACTCCGGGAGGAAACCTAAACTAAATTAACTTTATTTATGCTGGATATAGCTCTAACAGTTCTAAACTGTTCTTCCTAGAGGTCCAGTAAGGGTCATCTCTTATTGATCCAGTGTTACTCCAGGAGGAAATCTAAACTAAATTAACTTTATTTATACTGGATATAGCTCTACCAGTTCTAAACTGTTCTCCCTAGAGGTCCAGTAAGAATCACCTCTTATTGATCCAGTGTTACTGCACGCGTAAAAATCATCATGTTGATGCAAGTTGTTCAAAACAGGAGCGAACAATGTTGTGCTGCACCCCGTGAACAATATTGTTAACAAGTTGTTGAACCATCAACATTGTTGCAACTTGTTGACAATCATGGTAACAACTTATGGTTGAACAAATTGTTAACAATATTGTTCACGGGGTGCAGCACAACATTGTTCACTCCTGTTTGAACAACGCCGAACAACCTGATCAATTTTTACCCGTGTACAGAAGGAGACCTAAACTAAACTAACTTTATTTATACTGGATAGATCAGTGCTAAACTGTTCTTTCTAGAGGTCCAGTAAGGATCATCTTTTATTGATCCAGTGTTACTACAAGAGGAAACCTAAACTAAACTAACTTTATTTATACTGGATAGCTTTATCAGTTCTAAACTGTTCTCTTTAGAGGTGTAGTGTGCCTTCCTACTAACACATTTTTTCCTTGTTCCTATGTATAGGCTAAGGGATTTAATCAATTTTATTCGTCGCCGTCCAACTAAAAGCAAAAACAGCGAAGCAGTGGATAAGGCCACAAGAGTTGTACAACAACAGTACGACTCGCTTGGACCAATTTCGTAAGTACCATGACTTTATTATCATTCTTAAATGCGTGACAAAGGTTTATACTGACACTGACATATACATAACATGTTTCAAGACAACGAATACGTGACTGGGTTGAGCAACAGAACTTTCGTCCCAATGAATACCTCATCCCCTGTGTAATGTACATGTTAACGAACATGGAAGGAAGGAAGGGAAGCGTAACCGCAAAATGCTTTTCCTTGACGTGTTTCCTCTTGGCAAGTTTACCGTCTCGTGTGTATAGTCAACACGATTTCTTTGGCAAGTTTCCCTTCACAAATTTACCTTCTCATGTAAAGATACGTATCTTATGTTACATTTAAAAATACGAAATACTGCACTACACTCAATTATATTCAAAAAAATCGTGACCTTCAAAAACTCATTCATAATTCATGAGGAAAACGCAAAGAAAAATCATAAGCGTGTCGTATCTTTATATGTGATAGAGATTTCCCTTGATTTACATAAACTTTAACTTTGATTTTCTCGACTAACACAACGTATTTTTTGAAAATTACTTCGCCAATGAACTTACTAGATCGATCGTTTTTGAAGCAATTTAAAACATTCGCAGTGCGTGTTTTATCAGACCTAAAGATACTCGACTTTGCCTGGTATCTTTATATCTGATAAGACACTGCTGCACATGTTTTAAATAGTACGCCTACTTTAAAAATTAATCTATTTACAAATATGGTTTTAAAACGCCGCGAGTGTTAACTTTAGGATAAATGCATCGTTTATTGCATAGATTGAAAGATATGTCGTTTTTCTTTGGTATAATTTGTGTGAGAGGATGATCATCAGACGCGGATATTTTGTTAAAAATGTTTGTGTCCTGTTTTTGTAACAGATCATACACCCTGATCAGGAAAGAAATATAACTATGTTTCTAACGTCTATCTAAAAAACGCTGAACAATCTTAAGGTTCAGAAGCTCCATAAGTAGAGAGCCAGTGCCAAAGATCTTTACAAATTATCTATTTCTGATTGTACTGTATTGTTCTCTTCTTAATGTTCTTAAAACATGCAAACATTTGTTCGCTTCCATTAAAGTGCGACTAACCGCTAATATCATTTTTGGTATGTGTAATATTTGGGTCATTCAAAGAAGAAATGTAATATATCTTAATAATAAAAAATCCCATCTTGATCAACTTTTTCACCGTCAAAAGCTTCCGGATATGATGTCATTAGGTGAATGGACCATCATTTGCATTATAGACTAAATTTTGAGCTCAACAAGTCTAGACAAAAGTTTCATCACAGCTTGAAAGAGCATCAAAAAATTAGTAATATTCCAAAGTTTCGTTGCGAAATGTTGTAAAATGCGGATAATATAGCCTTGCGAAGTTTGCCGTTTTTCAGTCATTTTGTATTACAAACGGGAAATTGACAGCCCCAAAGGGTATTGGGCTGTCAATTTCCCCCGCGTAATGCAAAATGACTGAAAAACGGCAAACTTCGCAAGGCTATATTATCCGCATTTTATATACAACATTTCGCAACGAAACTTTGGAATATTACTAATTTTGTGATGCTCTTTCAAGCTGTGATGAAACTTTTGTCTAGACTTGTTTAGATAAAAATTTAGTCCATGATGCAAATGGTCCATTGCAAATTAGTTTTCCTTTGTTTTTTTTTGTACCAAAAATTCACCTAATGACATCATATCTGAAACATTGACTGTGAAAAAGTTGATCAAGATAAATTTTTTTACTATAAAGATACATTACATTTCTTCTCAGAATGATCCGAATATTACACATAGCAAAAATTACATTAGTTAGGGGTTAGTCGTACTTTAACTTACTCGTTGAACTTCAAATCGTTCTGGAACGTAACATCTAATAATAGTAAATCATTACATTGAGGGAATCGTTAATCTTTAAGTAATTGTCATCGTTATTTTTCATTCTTTTCTTTCACAATGTTTGGAACAGTGTATTCTTCAAAGAATGTAGATTTTGAATGAACAAGGAAATATTTCTCCGTGACCAACAGCTTTTTTTTTGTTCGTGTACAAAATGGGATGTGATTTTATCTTTGCTTCCTCAATATTCTAAGTACTATTGTCTCATTACGCAAGCTATACGTTTTTCCTTACATAGGGAAGCTATTTGATGGACCAGCTTCCTTATTTTATAATTTAAACATGCTTGTTTGTACGTCATGGTTTTGTCAAAAGCGACATTGTCATGTCCGGAGCGGAGATGAGAGTCACGCGAGCTTCGTTAGCTGTTCTTAATGCTTTCCCAACTAGTACTACCATGTATTCTGTTGAAGTTAAAACATAGTTAGAACACTCATCGAACCTTTATTTTGTCAAGCTAGAGTTTGAAATGTCCCCTGGAACAATGCGTGATAACTTTCATAACTCTCATCAAAAAGACATCCTTGCACGACTCGATCAAATGTCTTATATATACTTTTTGCGAACTTTCTACTGGTATTGATTATTTTTGTTAAAATTGAACTTGAATTTTTTGCATTTTTGTCAACATAGTACGTTAATATATAGGCGGCAATATTTTAGAATTCTCAAATCTTCTGCAAATCCGGTATGCTCAAGAGCACGCCCATACATAAAATCCAGTATACTCACGAGCCCGTGCTCATATACACACCAAAATCCGGTATGTTCACGAGGACGCCCCCGTGCATAAAGTGCAGTATTCTTGGGTTCCTATGACGTCACAAAAGTGACGGGGGGTCAACTCTAAAACAAAACACAGTTATCAGAGTGTGACGATTGTTCGTTTTATGTATTAGCCTTGTGTTTGGTGGCAAATACGTGGAATTTCGTATCATTTTCTCACTCCAGTACAGCATAAGCATCAATACATTTGAGGTTGATCCCCCGCCTTCAGATTCACTGCATAATGCCTTAGTGAAACTCAAGAGTACTCACGAGCGCGCTCATATATGTAAAATCCAGTAATATAAGTTATATATTTATAATTTTTCTTAGATTTGCGGAAATAGCGGTGCTTGTTCATTTTGTTATTATGGCATTACTGTGGCTGTTCAGAGATCCTAAATTCATCAAGGGATGGTCTATACTTTTTACAAAAGGGTAAGATTTATACCATGTTATCTGAAATGTAGTCTGAGAAAATTGAGCGCCATTGTTAAATATCTCAAAAACAAAGCAAGTAAGACAGTTTGGCAAAACATCTCATTGGTCAATGCAATCATAAAAAAATGGTGTGAAATATCTCACTGTGAAAATAATAAATCACCATGCAAATAAGGGACTATGGTCATAAAGTAACTGCTAGGGTGGGCTGGAGGTAAATCACAAATTTTGCCAATAAGTTCGGTGACCCATCTTAGGATGTAGATAAAAATTTAAAAGCCCATCTAATCTTACAAAAAAATTTTCATGACCCACCCAATCTAAATTGGGAAAATACACTTTTATAATAAAAAAAACTTGCAGGTATGAACATTGTAAATATACACGGCACTGTACTGACATACATGTACATAATTCCACCAAGCTTGACCAACACATTGATACTGAGCCGCTCTCCAGTTGGTTGTATTTGCTGTGATTCGACCACTTGTTGTTGTAGCATCATTTGCATTTGATAATTTGGATAGTTTTGTTTACTTTTATTTACTTTTATTATTAATATCTTTATTTTTTGAAGTAGGCATGCATGGGGTTTTGTTTGGTGGCCCAACCGTCGACATACAAAAAAATTGGTGGCCCATCGAAACTGCCCAAAGATTTTCCATGGCCCATCAAAAATCACTCCTTGCAGTTACTTTATGACCGGTCCCTAAAGTGACCACAATTTATTTTAATTTCTCCCTCATATTTTAGATATGTTCGCGATGGAACAGTCGGCATTCTAGTCGCGTTTTCTTTGTTTAATTTTCCTTCCCGGAAACCGAAAATATTTTCAAGAATATTTTCAAAGGGCAACGAATACGATATCGAAGGTGAGGTCACTTACATGGGAACCTAGAACAGTAAAATACGTAACTAGAACAATAAAAGACCTGAGAACCTAGAATGATAAAAGATGTTTGTGATGTTACCCTGAGTGTATATCCACACCGGGCAAGCTTGAAAAATATGCCTGGCCACGGTGGTGAAATACTAGCCCAATGCTCTGCCAACTGAGCTACGCGGTCAGGTCGGTTCGAGTGAGCGATATTTCGGAACTGAGCCTCGTTCCTTCGATATCGATGTAATCTAGTAATCATGAATTTGTGTTGGTGTAATGTACTCAGGTGAATAAGATGCTTGTGATGTTACTCTGAGTGTATATCCACACCGGGCAAGCTTGAAAAATATGCCTGACCACGGTGGGAATCGAACCTACGACCTTTGGAATACTAGTCCAATGCTCTGCCAACTGAGCTACGCGGTCAGGTCGGTTCGACTATGTGATATTTCGGAACTGAGTCTAGTTCCTTCGATATCAATGTAATCTAATAATAATGATCAATGCCTATTGCCAAGTTATCACTTTTCTGATAATTCATACACTACAAAAGCGCTCTCGTATTTTTAGGTAACCACGAACCTGCGGCCCTGCAATTCCGGTGCAGCGCTCTAACCAAACGAGCTACAGAGGCCAGTTGACGAGCAAATCCTGTATTGCACGTTGTTTTATTTTCTCTTTAGAAACCGGCCGAAGTGATGGACTTTCAGAGACATTGCTTAACTGGCCGACAGTTTCACAAAAATTTGCTTGGAATATTGTCTTTTTGCTGGGAGCTGGTTTTGCGATGGCCAAAGCTGCTAAGGTATATATGAGATATATTTAACCCTCGAAGCTTTTAGTAACAGATTATATAGGTCATGCTTATCTATTAGTCTATACTGGGTAGCTTTATCAGTTCTAAACTATTCCATCTAGAGGTTCAGTAAGGATCATCTCTTATTGATCCAATGTTGCTACAGGAGGAAACCTATAAACTAAACTAACTTTATTTATACTGGATGGCTCTATCAGTTCTAAACTGGTCTTCCTAGAGGCCCAATAAGGATCATCTCTTATTGATCCAGTGTGACTACAGGAGGAAACCTAAACTAAACTAATTTTATTTATACTAGATAGCTCTACCAGTTCTAAACTATTCCCCCAGAAGCCCAGCAAAGATCATCTCGCATCGGAAACTGAAACTAACTTTATTTATACTGAATAGTTCTACAAGCTGAAACACACACTTCTCAAATGCGATTGAAGTAAAACGACACCAATACCCAATCAATAAACACCATAATTGTCGGTTTGTGTGGTAAAACGTACCATTGTTTTTATTAAAATGGTTCATTCTTTATATAGGAATCAGGTTTATCCTTGTGGCTGGGACAACAACTCGCTAAACTGGACAGTGTGCCTACGTTTGTCATCGTGTTGATAACCGCGGCAATGTTGTGTGCTTTCACTGAGGTCACATCTAATACTGCCACTGCGACAATCTTTCTGCCAATACTTGGAACGTTGGTACGTCAACTGGGCTAGTCCATTTAATAATATTCGTACCTCCACCCCTGTCAAGGATACATGTTTTACATAGTTATACCCCTGAAGAATTCCAAGCTCAAAACCCTTTACCCCTGAAGAATTCCAAGCCCTGAAAATTTTCAATCTCAAAACCCTTTACCCTTGAAGAATTCCAAGCTCAAAACTTTTTACCCCTGAAGAATTCCAAGCTCAAAACTCCTTCCCCCTGAAGAATTCCAAGCTCAAAACCCTTTACCCCTGAAGAACTCCAAGCCCCGAAAATTTCAATCTCAAAATCCTTTATCCTTGAAGAATTCCAAGCTCAAAACTTTTTACCCCTGAAGAATTCCAAGCTCAAAACTCCTTCCCCCTGAAGAATTCCAAGCTCAAAACCCTTTACCCCTGAAGAACTCCAAGCCCCGAAAATTTCAATCTCAAAATCCTTTATCCTTGAAGAATTCCAAGCTCAAAACTTTTTACCCCTGAAGAATTCCAAGCTCAAAACTCCTTCCCCCTGAAGAATTCCAAGCTCAAAACCCTTTACCCCTGAAGAACTCCACGCCCCGAAAATTTCAATCTCAAAATCCTTTATCCTTGAAGAATTCCAAGCTCAAAACTTTTTACCCCTGAAGAATTCCAAGCTCAAAATCCTTTACCCCTGAAGAATTCCAAGCCCTGGAAAATTTTAATCTCAAAACCCTTTACCCTTGAAGAATTCCAAGATCAAAACTTTTTACCCCTGAAGAATTACAAGCTCAAAACTCCTTCCCCCTGAAGAATTCCAAGCTCAAAATTCCTTACCCCTGAAGAACTCCAAGCTCAAAACCCTTTACCCCTGAAGAATTCCAAGCCTTGAAAATTTTCAATCTCAAAACCCGTTACCCTCGAAGAGTTCCAAGAGCAAAACTTTTTACCCCTGAAGAATTACAAGCTCAAAACTCCTTCCCCCTGAAGAATTCCAAGCTCAAAACCTTTTACCCCTGAAGAATTCCAGGGATCAGGGGGGGTACGGATATTAAATGTAATACTCAGACAGCAAACTAGCCAGTAAGATAATTATTCAATGAGGACTAGCAAACGTTTTACCAAGAAAAACGTTTCTCCCCCCCCCCCCCCCTGCCATAAATAATGACGGTTCCCTAATTTTCCAATGAGGACTGACTCAAAATTTATGTAACTTCTGTTTAGGCATCAAGTCTGCGAATTCATCCATGGCGTCTGATGGTCCCGGCTACAGTCGCCTGTTCGTTTGCGTTCATGCTACCTGTCGCCACGCCTCCCAATGCAATTGTCTTTGCGTCTGGTTATCTCAAAGTGACTGATATGGTAAGTTCAGGACTGGATGAAATGATTACGAGAGTGCATGAGAGTTTGTCACGTGAGCTTGGTTAGCTGTTCTTAATGCTTTCCATGCAAACTCTATCATGTATTCTATTGAAGTTAGGACATAGTTGGAACACTCATCAGATATTTTTGTCAATCTAGAGCTTCAAATGCCCCCGGTATAAAAACGTGTCTGTCACTCACAACCTCTTTGACAGAGGCTTCGTTCATTTCATCTTATTTCAAATTCTGAAAATTCCCATTTCAAGGAAGACAAATCGGTTACCGCATGTGGTTTTAATAATTTCGTCGCATATGAGAAGTGCGTCTCCAGTTCCGATCTACCAAACACCGTTTTGGGTTTCTTCCGAGTATTCATGCTTTTCGCTAGAGTAACACTGGATCAATAAGAGATGATCCTTACTGGACCTCTAGGAAGAACAGTTTAGAACTGATAAAGCTATCCAGTATAAATAAAGTTAGTTTAGTTGAGGTTTCCTCCTGTAGTAACACTGGATCAATAAGAGATGACCCTTACTGGATCTCTAGGAAGAACAGTTTAGAACTGATAGAATACTGATATAAATAAAGTTAGTTTAGTTTAGGTTTCCTCCTGCAGTAACACTGGATCAATAAGAGATGACCCTTACTGGACCTCTAGGAAGAACAGTTTAGAACTGATAGAATACTGATATAAATAAAGTTAGTTTAGTTTAGGTTTCCTCCTGTAGTAACACTGGATCGATAAGAGATGACTCTTACTGGACTTCTAGGAAGAACAGTTTAGAACTGATAGAGCTATCCAGTATAAATAAAGTTAGCATAATTTAGGTTTCCTCCTGTAGTAACACTGGATCAATAAGAGATGATCCTCACTGGACCTCTAGGAAGAACAGTTTAGAACTGATAGAGCTATCCAGTATAAATAAAGTTAGTTTAGTTTAGGTTTCCTCCTGTAGTAACACTGGATCAATAAGAGTTTAGAACTGATAGAGCTATCCAGTTTAAATAAATCTTTGCTTAGTTTAAAATCAAAATACAATTTTATTTTTGTTTCCAGGCGAAAACAGGGCTATTTATGAACATTGTAAGTGTGGCTGTTTTAATGCTTTGGTTGTATACCTATGGCACTTGGTACTTCGACCTTGACACTTTTCCAAGCTGGGCCGAAATTGCTGCTACGAACAAGACTGTTGTAGATTGTATTACAAGAAACAACACGATGTAATTACAAGCATTGTCTTAAGCCAGACATTATTTTTGTATGATGATTATTCAATGAACAATCCCAAATCGTCATAGATTTTGGTGATAGATCTCCGGTATAAGGATACACGATTTTTGTCGCGGTTTTCTAAGCTCTAGAAGACTCTGGTTAAATTTCATTTTAAATCATTTTTATCAGTCAAACAAAATCTTCAGTGTTAGGGAGCACAAACCGGTCCTGTCTTTAAGAGTATAGACAGTTGGAAATTGTATTCACCATTCGTTAATTTACACTTAATTTACTTCGTCAAGTTGTAAAAATATATACTAAATAATTTCTTAATATATATTAAGATAAATGTTAATGTTCGCACGCATTAATACACTTGTACTTCTGGATCAGAAAAACAGAAATGTAGACATTTGTAAGGTGTAAAACTTATAGGCCTAATAGTTAATGTCATAGTAATAGTAATAGTTATGTAATACTAGACAAGCTTGAAGTTGGTATATGAGTAGTAAAAGTTGTTCTCATTGACAAGCTTTATTACTCAGAAAACATTTCTGAGCGCGACCTCTTAGCAAGTATAGGAAGCAGTCATAACATTTAGAAACTATGATGTCGAGGGTTCGATCCCCACTCGGGGACTCAGAAATATTTTCTGAATAATAAAGCTTGAGAACAACTTTTACTATTACTTTCGTACCATGTGACACTCATCAGATAAATTAGCCTATAATGGCTATAAGACTATAATTGATCTGATGACATGCCACATCTTGAGGTACGAAACTAATAGCAATAGAGATGCCTAGTGAAATTTATTGAGTCGATATATATATATATATATATACTAGTTCATAATATGTTAAATAGATGGGTTTCATTTAGTTGGACAGTATACCTATAGCACTTTTTCTTCGCATTCATAAATGCATGATTGGATTTTGGTGGAAGATTTTGCGGAGGTTCAGCGATGAACTCGCTTTAAATTAGAAAATATAATTGAGAAAGTGCAAGTCCTTTCATTACTTTACTCTACACGGAAGACAAAATATGCTAGTACAAAAATTATTTAATGAGAGTTCTATTGTGGCTATAAAGTGAAACACAAATAATGAATTTAAAATATTCTTTTAAATAAGATAATCTTAATTTTTATTGCTATTTCCATCTAAGAGGAACCTATCTATTTATAGTCTAATGTTTGCAAGTATCATCCCAATTATTTATAATTTTCAGTATTTGTATGGTGTAAAGAACGTTTTGGGGAATATATGTTGTATTTTTTTATTGTAAATTTCATTGGAATACATTTCGCCAAGCTATAATAAAGTTTCATAAATATTTTAAGAATCAACACAGGTATTAGCTATCTGTTTGCTATTTAAGGGACTGAATTTGTAAAAATAATTAACTAAATGTAGCACAATAGTTCGTGCTTTTAGCAATGCTAAAACGGATGCCGCCATTTTGAAATTTTATCCGCCATTTTGAATTTGTGCAAAAGCTGCGCAGAAATCTCGAACATACAAGTTATGATTTTGGCTAAGAACTTGTATGTGATATAAATACCATGACCAGCCGACGATTTAAAAAACAAATTCCGAAAAAAAAACAAGACATCTTGAGAATACAATATATGATTCAAAACAAGATGAATAGCCTTTCTCTCGTTGACGAATACCCGCCATTTTTGGGTGGCATCCAATTTTCGTTAACCAATGCAGACAATCAAAACGATGTGAAAAGCAATTTTGCAAAATAAACTAACCATTTACAAAGCAAATTTACCATCATTTGTCCAAAAAATTACAAAAAGTCGCTGTTATGTGGACTTATCTCGCAGACTTCGGCTGAAATTGCCACCCAAAAATGGAGGCCTGAGAAAGGCTATAATTATATTTGAAACTATACAGTCTCAATCTCCGTCTTGTTTTGAATTATATATATTGTATTCTCAAGATATCTTGTCTTTTCGGAATTTGTTTTTCACTATACTTTATACGTGTTGTAACTCTACAATATACTGTATACATAAACGGCGTGGATATTAAAAAGTGTCCCTTAACCATAATAAATGGCATATCCTGTTCTTTGTCGATCGCCAATAGTAAGAATTAAGTCCTAACAAAAGTTATGATTTTGAACTTATTTGTTTAGTTTTGTATATGTGTGTATGAGAACTGTGATTTCAAAAATAGATACGTTTATGCTCAAAATTCAAGATGGCGTTGAACCAGAAATTTACTAATATCGTTGAATAATTTCTATATTATCCAATTTTACTTTCCATCCAGAAATAAACTGCCCAAAGGTTTGAATGAATCGGAAGGGACTCACTGATGTGATGTGGCAAATTTTTGTACGTAGAACTGTTGATGAGAGGGATTCGCACATCAGGTAACAAAATCAAACTGTTGAGTGTTGGCTTACAACCAATTCATTTATTCCTTCAAAAAACAGCGAAGAATTTGATAATTTTGGCACATTTTTTATACAAGTCCGCTGTCTTGAATTTCGAGAAAAACTCTTTAAACGTATCTATATTTATAATCCTTACTTGAAATCACAATTTTTATTCCCACATAAACAAAACTAAACAAGTTCAAAAACATAACTTTTGTTAGGACTTTCTTTACCAGAAGGTGACAAAGAACAGGATATTCCATCTTTTATCGTGGGGGGGGGGGGGGGCTTTTCAATACCCACCCCTTGTAAAAATTGAATTCGTACTTGATTTCATTGAAGATCAGGAATTTCGTCGCTCGGTTTTCTTCTTTTTCCACGAAGAGTGTAACGGCTCCAGACTATGATTTGTAAGATGGCGACAATAGCAGGCAGAAAGCACATGATATTAAACATGACTGTTTTGAGGTCCTCTGTAGATGTTTGGGAACCTATGTAAACAGGAAAAAAAGTTTCAATGAAACCTAATTCCTCCATGTAACATACAATTCCTCCATGTAACATACAAGATCTATCCAGGGCTGGACCCAGCAAGTGTGGTTTGGAGCCATGGCCAAATTTTTGAGAACGTCCTATCCTCATGGCCAGAAACCACGGACATGGTTTACTTCCTTCGTAATTTGCATATCACATTGAAATATGGCTTAAACTGTGAACAGTAAATTACATAACGCGACGTTGTAACAAACGTCGTTGTTAAACGCAAAATCTGAGAATAAAGTGGGTCGTTTGTAACTTGAATCGCTGGCAGCAAAACAAAGTATGTCGAAGTTTCGGGTGCCCGTAAAGGAGTATTCTGCTCTGTGGGTATAACCAGTGGTGCCTAAATTACTTTGAATTTGTACTCAAGTAAAAGTACAAGTAATTAACAATAAAACGACTTGAGTAAGAGTAAAAAGTACTGGAGGCAAATCGTACTTAAGTAAAAAGTACAAAGTATCCTTAAAAAATACTTGAAGTACAAAGTAAAAGTAAAAGTACTATTGTCTATAGTGTGTAGGGGGGGGGGACTTCTCCAATGGATTGACATACAAAAGACACAAAACAGCACACTATAATGCGTGCACAATAATATACAATATTTCACGGCATGGTTTACTTTCCAAACCCCGTTGAAGATATAAGAAATCCATTAAATAAATAATGCTTATAAGTAAGCCAGCAACGAGAGATCCCAGACGCATGTAGAGGTCCTATTACCTATCCCAAAATTAAAATAAATCGGGAATAAATCACGTAAAATTAAACAAATGTGAGAAAGTGAGAAAGTAACGAAACACTTCGCCACAAAATGAAAATAACGAAGTAAAACGTTACTTCTTAAAACGACCGCGTTCCAAGTAAAAGTACTCCAGAAAAAGTTTACTTTGTTATTATTATTATTATTATTATTATTATTATTATTATTATTATTATTATTCATTTATATAGCGCCATTTCCCATAGCTCAATAGCGCTTAACATTAAGTGTTAAAATACATACTAAGTGTTAGAACATAGTACATGAATTGACTACTAAAATTACTATACTATAAAATTACTAAAAAATTAATTATATGCTCTTCTCGTTAAGAATATAAAATTACTTTATGTTATGTATGTTGATAATATTAAAACAACAACTATATAGAATACTATAAAATTGCTAATAATCTTGTTAAGATAATAACTTAGTCATAATATTGTTTAAAAAGATGTGTCTTTAATCTGGTTTTAAAAATAGGCAAGGTCTCACTCTTTCTAATATACTCTGGCAGTTCGTTCCACAGTTTCGGTGCAGCATATGAGAACGATCGTTCACCATAGTTCACTAGTTTTACTGAGGGTATGGTAAGCAATCCTTTGGATGAGGAGCGTAAATTTGCTGATGGTGTGTATATGCTGATTTCTCAAAAATAGTACTCAAGTACAGTAACGAAGTACATTTACTTCGTTACTTGACACCACTGGGTATAACCTGTCATTTATTTGGCAAATATTGTAAAATAAAATAAAAATGAAGTATTTAGTGTAGTGTTGGCCTGATTTTAGTTAGTGTCTATTCTGCATTTTCAATATTTCTACAGAGGTTAATTTTTACGACATTTGTCTATTTAACTCTATATAAGAATACCGCAATACTGCAACTAAGAACAAACGAAAATGCAGAATGTGCAGTAACTTACACCAGGCAAACATTACACTAAACATTTTCAGACTTTGTTCTGTGACCAGCAATGAAGCGAATTGGAAACGACCTCTGTATTTTCTGATTTTGCGATTAACAGCAACGGGTAATATAATTTGCTGTTTTTATAATTTACTGTGGCATCGAAGAGAAAAGGGTTGGGTAAACAAAATTTTGTGTGAGTAAAAGGTTGGGTAAATGAAAAACAAAACAACTGAAAGGTTGGGTGATAAAAATTTATTGTCATTTCCAAAGCATGACTCACTCAAATATTGAAGACTAAAAAGCAATGTCAACAGTCATACATCAATACAATATGTAAATCAATCAATCAGTCACCATCTTGATAATTTTCCAATTTGTCAGGAGGCAAATGGTGTCTCCAAAGAAAGTCATGTCACAGAAGTGGTAAAGGACATGTGTGACAACTGAATGGTATTCTTTTGTAAAGTTTTTGGTCAGAGTGGTATTTTTAATTGATATTTGTTTACGTCGGGGTAAAATTTTTTTGACTTTTTAATGGTAGGATCAGTAAAATTTTTTATCAAGAAACATATTTCTCCAGTTCTACGGATATTTTATTTAATATTCGGTAAAGAATTGATAAATTTCATATCCGTACCTTCAGTCGTTTTTGTGGGGGCGTTTTTATCCTAATGTGAAAAAAAAACAGAAATATAATTAAACATAGAATAAACGTAAAGTTACATGGCAACTCGAGAACAAGAGCTGATTATAAACTGTATTTATACAACCTCGTTCCCAGGGCTTTCTAGTTGTGTCCGGGGAAGGGAGAGGATAAAAGAATAAATAAAGTTAGTTTAGGTTTCCTCCTGTAGTAACACAGGTTCAATAAGAGATGATCCTTACTGGACCTCTAGGAAGAACAATTTAGAACTGATAGAGCTATCCAGTATAAATAAAGTTAGTTTAGTTTAGGTTTCCTCCTGTAGTAACACTGGATCAATAAGAGATGATCCTTACTGGACCTCTAGGGAGAACAGTTTAGAACTGATAGAGCTATCCAGTATACATAAAGTTAGTTTAGTTTAGGTTTCCTCCTGTAGTAACACTGGATCATTAAGAGATGATCCTTACTGGACCTCTAGGAAGAACAGTTTAGAACTGATAGAGCTATCCAGTATAAATAAAGTTAGTTTAGTTTAGGTTTCCTCCTGTAGTAACACTGGATCAATAAGAGATGATCTTTACTGGACCTCTAGGAAGAACAGTTTAGAACTGATAGAGCTATCCAGTATAAATAAAGTTAGTTTAGTTTAGGTTTCCTCCTGTAGTAACACTGGATCAACAAGAGATGATCCTTACTGGACCTCTAGGGAAAACAGTTTAGAACTGATAGAGCTATCCAGTATAAACAAAGTTAGTTTAGTTTAGGTTTCCTCCTGTAGTAACACTGGATCAACAAGAGATGATCCTTACTGGACCTCTAGGGAAAACAGTTTAGAACTGATAGAGCTATCCACTATAAATAAAGTTAGTTTAGTTTAGGTTTCCTCCTGTAGTAACACTGGATCAATAAGATATGATCCTTACTGGACCTCTAGGAAGAACAGTTTAGAACTGATAGAGCTATCCAGTATCAATAAAGTTAGTTTAGTTTAGGTTTCCTCCTGTAGCAACCCTGGATCAGTAAGAGATGATCCTTAAGCCTGGTTCACATATGCCTGCGGTATGCCTGCGACTGTATCATTATGCCTCTACTTGCCGCCGAAATACCGGCAAAGTTGAACTCAAGTCAACTTTCCCGGCCTACCGCTGGCGTAACTGAGGCGCTGGAAGCAATCGGCGAACAAATGTTCACATAATTTACGTTTTAAAGCTACCATCGGCATCGTCGCCGGTACGTCGCAGGCATATATGTGAACCAGGCTTTACTGGACCTCTTAGGAAGAACAGTTTAGAACTGATAGAGCTATCCAGTATAAATAAAGTTAGTTTAGTTTAGGTTTCCTCCTGTATATAGTAACACTGGATCAATAAGAGATGACCTTACTGGACATCTAACAGAACGAATACTTTGTCCTCGCAGATCGCAAGTAACATATCAAATGACAGTATGGACATACCGACATAAAATTTATGATTCCAGCGCAAATAAAGTAGCGAGAATGCATTTTAGAACATAACACAACATAAATATATTATATAATTATGGTAACTTGGGTTTTAGTTGACTACTAGCGCAAACGGTTTGGAGAATCATGATTTTCGACAAAACAGAACGCGCTATTAATAGTATTACACAATACGAAAAGTATCAACCCAATTTAAATGCCGTCGCAATTTAATACCTATACTTGTTATTGTTGCGCAAATACCAAACTTATTTTAACTATTAGCGAAAATTACAAGACAAACTGTGAACTTCAAGAATGAATATTTTCGAAAAAAAACCCCAAAAACAAGCGCGCTCATCTTCTGTGTATGACCTACGAATTTTTTAAGGTTGTCTATATTTTCCATGAAACATGATACCATGGGCTGAATTAAAAATCTCCATATGTTACCACTTGCAGTAAATTTCGCAATATTATTTTCCCAGAAAAGATTGCTTTTACAAGGAATACGACTTTGCCTTGTTCTCTCGTTACCTATACATTTAAAGTTGTGTTGCCGTCTTTTATCAAACTCAAAATCATTCTCAGTGTATTTAAAACGCGCCAAAATGAGCGGTGAAGATTTATTAACCAAATTCGATGACTTGGTGAAGCGGCTTAGGAACGAATTCAACGATATTATTGAAGGGGAGAGAGCCAAAATGAAGGCGGAACTAGACGCTTACAACGCAGAGAAGCAAAGAATGAAAGCCGTCGAAGTCAGCGACAACGATATCATACACCTCAACGTTGGTGGTCACACATTAACCACAAAAAGATCTACTCTTTGTCAAGTAGAAGGTTCGCTGCTCGCCTCAATGTTCAGTGGACGTTGGGAGGACAGTCTCGAGCGCGATAAAGATGGCGCCATATTTTTCGATTTCAATCCCCAGTATTTTCTTGTTATATTGGAATACCTGCGCGCGAAGAAAATTGCCACACCAGAGCATCCCGCGCCATTGCCGAAAGTCGCCGAAGACCAAGCAAAAAGTTTTAATAGTCTTTTGGGATATCTCAGATTAAGCAATCAGATGTGTTTTGATATATCAGATTAACCAATCAGATGTGTTTGATATATCAGATTAACCAATCAGATGTGTTTGATATATCTGATTAACCAATCAGATGCGTGGTAAGCCAGTGAGAGGTAGTGATAGTGAAAGTCAAATCTGAATCTCTGTAATAACACTGTCAGACTGGTTAGATTCATCAAATTGTTAAATGGAATACAAAACTTTCGCTTCTGAGATTGGTCTGACAGAAAAATTTAGATCAAATCAACATGAGGTCCATTTTGATCAGACGTCCGAAAACTTGGCCCAGATCTATCTTGCTTGAAATTATAAGCCGTTATAGTATGCAAGACTCTCCCCTTGACGAGTAAATTCATCTGGCGTTAGACAGAGTAAAATACTAAAGTAGGGCGCATTTTGGCGCATTGCAGCTTAATGGGTTATATAAGAGAGAGAAATTCTGCCCAGCATGGCTGGTCTGACCATTTCAAATGGAAAGCGTGCTTTGTGTCTTTTTTTGTAAATATATCCAGTCCTTGCAATATGATTATGAACTTTAGCTAAATTGAGGACTTTATGTAAATTTGTATGTGGCATATAACAAAGTACGCATTATCAAAGTTGAGTTATAGAATTATAGTGGCATGCAGTCATTGTTTGTTTTATTAGGTTAACTAGTGCACGTAGTGATTAAGAATCAAGTAATAACAAATATATGGACAAAATATTTAGATTTATATACCAGTAAAATATCGTGTTAGTTTTCATAGGTAGTAAAATATTTCATATTGATGTTTAATAAAAGTACTTGTTTAAAACAGATCTGTCATAAAAGTTTCTGAAACTCCTTGGTTTTTCAAAAAAAATCCTTAAATTACTTCATTCAGTTTGATGTGATTTCCACTTGACGACGTAAAGTCACATATTTGTACTTGAAAATTAACCAGATAAAAATTCGAGAATTCCGCAATTTATAATTCTTGAAACCTTAAAGCTTTGAATTCTTCATAAGTTTCTCCGCACAAAACAGATTTGTATACATTGAGGTTTATTTCAGCTCGATTTACGCGACGAAATTTAACATAGACTGGACTCAGGTTAGTTTGAACCAGTCTCTGGAATATGGTTCAAACTAACCCTGCTGAAACCCTAGACAGCCTTTTTTTTACATTTCAAAAACCTCACATTGGTTGAAGTTAACTTACATCGAACCTGGGTTATTTTTCGTAGCGTAAATCAAGCTTTCACTGATATTCACTGAATACCACTAGAATCACTAGACAAAAATTCAGGTCAAAGTCCGTAAAATATTCAGCAGTTTAATAATAGTTGTCATAATGAAACAGGAAACCATGATCATGTTTGTCAGTATTTGCATAATAAAAGAGAAAGCAGATTTCGCAATATTATTTTCCCAGAATAGATTGCTTTTACAAGGAATACGACCTTGCCTTGTTCTCTCGTTACGTACATTTAAAGTTGTGTTGCCGTCATTTATCAAACTCAAAATCATTCTCAGTGTATTTAAAACGCGCCAAAATGAGCGGTGAAGATTTACTAACCAAATTCGATGACTTGGTGAAGCGGTTTAGGAACGAATTCAACGATATTATTGAAGGGGAGAGAGCCAAAATGAAGGCGGAACTAGACGCTTACAACGCAGAGAAGCAAAGAATGAAAGCCGTCGAAGTCAGCGACAACGATATAATAGAACTCAACGTTGGTGGTCACAAATTAACCACCAAGAGATCTACTCTTTGTCAAGTAGAAGGTTCGCTGCTCGCCTCAATGTTCAGTGGACGTTGGGAGGACAGTCTCGAGCGCGATAAAGATGGCGCCATATTTTTCGATTTCAATCCTCAGTATTTTCTTGTTATATTGGATTACCTGCGCGCGAAGAAAATTGCCACACCAGAGCATCCCGCGCCATTGCCGAAAGTCGCCGAAGACCAAGCAGAAAGTTTTAATAATCTTCTGGAATACCTCGGTTTAAGCGATGAAACCGTGCCCGCTGAAAAAGTACCTAGCGAGAAATTCAATCAACACAGCAGCAATGTAGTTACTCTTCAGGAAGGCGGGACGGTTGCAGTTCATGGTCCAAATGAAGGACATAGTTATGTTCTGGGAGAAAATGTTCACCAACAAGGCATTGTTCGTTTCAAGTTAAAGGTGGAGTCGTTTCAAACTAAAACATGGATGTTGGTTGGCGTAGTGAAAGCGGATGTTGTACCACCGAATAACAATTCATATGGATGGCCTGGTTCATATGGATGGTCACTCGGGCAGCATGGTCAAGTACGGAAAGCTGGGTCATGTACGGTTGATAATGCTTTAAAAAATGTCACTAAACAAGGCGACACGGTTGAGTTAGTCTTGGATTGCGATGCTGCCAAGTTGTCACTACATTTGTCCACTGGTCAACAATTCCACATCGAAATACCAAAGTCACAAACCTGGAGACTGAATGTCGATTTGCGTGATGCAAATGACAAAGTACGCATCATCGATGACAATGTATAGTCAAATGAAAGACTTTATTGCCTTTGCAAACCTAAACGATCTTTGTCAGTGTAGGTAGTGGCAATAATAAGAAAGTCTTGGATGGATAGGGATACAACTACCTGAAAAATACAAGGAGAACATCGACGTTTCCAGCGAAGACACTTCGTCTTGTATTTTCGGGTAGTTGTATTCCTATCAATGTGAAGCTTTCATTGTAAACCTAATTTCTTACCATAAGAACTACTGATTAACAATATGACAAAAGATATACTAAAATTAAACCATTCATGTAAATTTGGTAAAAAACACCATAGCCAGTGGAACGGGGGGTGCTGGGGGCATAGACCCCCAAAATAAAAGTAGAGGGCTAAGCCACCCCCCCCCCCCCCCCA